ACCCTCCCAATCACCCGACCATTGATCCCTCTGTGAATATGTTTGCTGTGAGATAATACATTAAAGCTGGTGCTGCTTCTGAGGAGAAGGACAATAATAATCAGGCCAAGTAACCTCATAGTCAGGAAGGTGTTGTGATCAGCAAGAGGGTTTGATGGATGATGGCAATGTGCAGTAAAAAGTAAAGAGTGAGAAAGATTGGTTGGGTGGTTGCAGAGAATAAGAATTCTGGGGACTTCTTTGGCAACGTCTCCTTCGGCGGCTTTGATGGTTTAATTTTAAAAGTGACTGTCACTCGAGTGACTGAGTGCTTTGGCAAGGGGTGTGATGGCTTATTCTGAAAGTCACGACTGACAAAAGGATCTTTCTCAAAATCCAAAGGGCTCTCTCTCTTGTGCTGGTACTGGTACCGGTACGCGCACAATGACATGTACAACATCGAAAGTGTTGAAACTATGAATTCCAACGTGGGAAACGGCGAGCACATGAGTGTGGGGAATGTGTGGGCTGAACTGCCGATTCCCTTGAGTGATATCTTTCAACAAGAGGTTGCCCCATACTTGAAAGTGGTAGATTTTGTCCACCTCTCGGCAGTATCAAGAAGGTATCAGATTCTCTTTGGTGCTACTGGTAGCCAGGGAAGCACCAAGCCATTGGCAGACCTTTTGCGTAGGGAAGCAGATCACCACCCACCTGGCGGTGGCAGCCTTTACTATACAAACCAGCTTCCCACCATCGGCAAGCTCACTGTGGAGGAATCGCTCCAAGAGGATCCCTTGTTGGTTGCTCAACTTCGCAAGGGAGCAATGCGCCGGCGCAAGCTTATTCTACTGCATTATCCTTCACAAAGAAATCATGATGATAGCGATGATGATAGCGATGACGATGAGCATCAGCATGGCTTGGATGAAGGATCACAGCTGCAACTCCGGACAGTCATTCGTTCCTTTCTACCAAAGAACTATGTAGAATTGAACAGAATCAGGGCCGAGTTTTACCAAAGAGTTGGGTCTTCTGAGGCACCATGTGGTAGCACTAGCTTTGTGGCAGTCAATCTTTCAGGTGTTGATATCTATTGTCATTGGATTGATTTTGATGGAGAAGTTACTGTTCGAGATGGAGATAGAATCCCTCCTGGACCCAATGGCAATGAACAGCAACCTTCATTTGTCGTGAACCACAATTCAAATCAACATTCCAATCCAAGGCACGTTTTTGAACATGGGAGTTATGTCACTCATGCATTTGCCTTGTGCTTTCAATCTGGTGGCCCACCCTTTGCTATTTACCAACCTCGGACGTGGTGAGGAAGACGCTCGGCAGCGTCAAGGCTGCGACGAGGGGAAGCAAAGCATATCCATTCTATTGCCATTTTGCCTGGTGGCTGTATCCAAGAATTGCACTGCGAGCTGTTTCATATTTTTCCTCGCGACGGCGCTAGGTCGGCGGTAACTTGGCACTATGCCATGGTTGACCGAGATACAGATGAAGTTGTGTTGCCGGAAGAACAAGGGGTGGTCATGGAACAACCTCGGCATCCTCTTCCTCTCGCGATTATTCAAAGGGTACCAACGGTAAGAGCTGGTGTCGTGGCTAATCAAAATGACCTGAGAAAAGAACTTTCAAGGGCCTACTATGGGCTCCACATGCCAGATATTGGGCACCCTTGCTGGCTAGAAGGTACGCTTGGAGTTGTAAGGACTATTTGTCGTGATAGTGGTTCAAGATATATCGGTATGCCTGCAGTGAACCTTGTTGACCCCCTAAGCGCGGCCCTGTGGCAATATGAAGAGCAACAGGACGGATCTTAGAAAAGTCTGGCAGCAATAGCATAAATGCTGCGATCGTCTATCGTTCTAGTAGGCTGTGGATGTACCAATGGCGATTGGCCATGCTGCCATCTTTAACCGTACGAGTAGATGCATGGGAACCGATGAGGCAGCGTCATATTTGAAACCTGGCTTTGGAGTGGCCTTGGAACAAGCGGCGTGGAACGGTTACTCCTATTCCAGCTTTCTAACCTCAAAAAGGATTGTTAATATGTTGTATCATCATAAATCTTTGAGGTAGCTAATGGTAGCAGGCAAGCAGCTTTCCTGCCACCTTTCTATGGAACGATTGCCGAACTCCGCCGCTGTCTATACTTTGGCCGGTTCGGCCAAAGGAGCGGGTCCAGGTCCACCCGGATGCGGCGAAGACCTAGGAGCCTCTGGACCACCCATCATGGGCCCCTCCGGCGTGGACAGCATCCCCGGCCTAGGAAGGGTGGACGCCACTGTTAACGGACGTGCTTCACCAATAACCATATCCGCCATGCCTGCTGGATCCGTGGCATAAGATTCTGGGAATCCCTGAATACGGATATTCAGTCGTCGCAATGTCATAAACTGCAAGGGTGATCAGAAGGAGTTAAGTTTGAAATCCTAACAATTTGTTGAAGGTTGAATCAGTCTTCATTACGTTAGCTTACCTCGTCCATTTCAACTTGAATGGCAGCACTCTTCATTTCTGGGGCTGGCTCTCCCGAGCGCCGTTTAACCTTGGGCTGGTAGGGACAGACATGGCCCTTCTTGGGCACTCCACACTGCGCAACAAATCAATGAAGCAACCAAATGGAATGCAGGCCGATGAGATCAAACACGCACAAACGCACAAACGCACAAACGTCACCAGCAGCACCGACTTACCCTACCACACTTGTAGCTCCCACGCCCCTTGTCCTTGTCTGAATGCTTGCCACCAGCAGAAGATTGCGAAGCATCATCGAGAAGTCCACGAGAGCCGTGATACATGTCAGAATCCGGCGCGGGTGCATCCAGCCCTGCAGGGGGGCATACTGGTGTCCCTGGTGGTGGGTATGCAGCAGGTCCCATCATTCCGCGATTCATCATATCCGGAGATGCCCTCGGTCGACGAGGAGGCGTTTGTGAAGCACTTGCCCATCCACCGTACTGTTGATGCATGGGTGGTGGATGGCCTCCATGCCATTGCCCCGGAGGTGGCGGATGATTTCCCCACTGCGGACCACCCCATTGAGGAGCACCGCTCCATCCAGCTCCGTAAGGTTGTCCCGGCATTGGTCCAGCTTCACCCGCTTTCGGTGCTTTGCTGCCTGGTTTCATAGGTCCTCGTCCTCGGGCCGGTGGTGGTTGTCCCTTTCCGCCTGGTGGGGGCGGTGGAGGTTGATGAGGGGGATGTGGACTTCTGTATCCACTCCATTGTCCAGGTCGTTCTGGTGTCATGGGTCCTCCTCGTTGTGGGTACATTGGCTGCCCAGGACCACCTTGCCAACCATGAGGCGGTGGTGGCCCATACTGCCCTTGCCATCCCATGTAGTGCCCCCCGTATCCTTGTTGTGGATATCGTTGTGGTGGCATCGGTCCATGGCCTGGCGGCATTCCATCTGGAGGCATTCCATCGGGCTTGTGTCTCTTGGAACCAGGTGGTTGACCGGCATTGACCATTATGGGTGGCTTTCGTTCGGAGACCATGATTTCTTCGTTTGTCGACTTGTTTGTTTGGTTTGTTGTGGATCAATGGTCAGAGGGAAAATACAATCCCAATAGGACTGAAATTTTAGGGTGATAAATACTCCTGGTCCTCGGAGAATGAACAAGGGTCGGAGACCGAACCAAAGAAACGGGAGTCCTCTCTAAAACCTAAAACTACTAGCAACTCCGAAATCCGCAGAAAGAATATTCTCTGGATTTTCGCACAATTCTCAGCTACGATAGTTTGTCGCCCAAAGAGAATGGCTGGTAAATTGTCTTAACTTGATCCCCACAACTAAGTTGAAATGATAACAAACAAAACACTGTTGCGGAGGTAGCAGCACGGGATGATCAGCATGGAGAGACAGGTATTTGGTTGTTGGTGGTCTTGCCCATGGGTAGAGCACATGAGATTTGATCCATGGGTGCTCGATGCTGATCGGTTGGGATCGAACGCAGGTAGGCGTAGTGGGATGCACGTCTAAATCTACAAGTGAGTCAACGGCTCGCAGCGTAAGTGCAACAAGGTACTTAGCGCTCATTGGCGTTACGCTCGTGGGGACCACCAAGTGGTCATCACTAAAACACTTTGGAGATTGTGAATGGCTGGGCATCAACAAAGCATCCATGTAGCTAGCAAGCTAACTATGGTATTTTATTAATAGCTGCTAGCTAGCTAGGTACCGGTATGATCATTCTCAGGCTACTGGTACCAGTACCGTATGGAACCTGAACCGATCTTACCCGCCCGGTATCGGTACTAGCTAGTACCGGTATGCACCCATCAAGCCGAGCTTGCTCCCACTCGTTACGGGTATATAGCTACGACTTATACCGGTATTATTAGTCCAAGCAACTGGACTAATAATACCGGTATACAAATGGTTTTGGGATACCGTACCCCATTCTTCATTCCCCCGCACCGCTTCCAAAGATTTTGCGGCTACAGTCGTACTGTACCGTTATGATACCGGTAGAAGCAACACGACATGACCAGGTCAGTTATCTTTATGCATACAGTATCCAGAAGATAAAATCTCAAAGAATATATTATGATCTCTTCAAGCGATAGGAAGATTTTCGGCTTCTGGTACTAGCTAGTACCATACTGTGCCTTTTTAAAAAAAAAAGCTACCGTACAAGCAGGTTGCCACCTCCAAAACTAAAAAAACCCAAAGGACCAAGGAGCCGACCCAGAAACTTAGCCGTTAACTTTCAGAAGGATCAATTGTGCTTCCATGATATCCTTTTCATCGGACTTCATTGGTTTCCGATCATTGGATTGTATTCAGCCACCGAAGGGTTGTTGAACGCCAGCCATCGGCTTTTAATTCTTCCTCACAGAAACGATCTGCGAGAGGAAATTTTCCTCCGCCCCAAAACCCATGCATCAACAGATAACAGCATCAGACGACTATGGTATTGATGCAAATGGTACTAGTATAGAAAAGTAGATAGGCACCCTTCCATTCACCAGCAGCATAACAGCATAAGCTCTTATCCGCTATCCAGACAAGTTCGGTGGAACAAATAGTAGTAGCATGTCCGCCAATCCCAATGGCAATCTAATGGACAGCAACATGGATGATGCTCAATTCTTCAATGGGGCTCACATGTCCGAGGACTGGTACCATGGGCACAAGGTCGTAGCCATGCCTTCGTCAGCCTTTGGTGGTCTCAGCATCCGTGAGGTTGTCTCTTCGCGCAATGAGATAATGAATGAGAGCAATGCTACCAACAACAGCAGCAATCAGAGACCTCGTAGGAGCACGAGTCTCGGCAGGCAGCCGGTGCGTCCTGGACGAGACATTATCCAAGACGTCTACGATCGAATGGGAGTTAGCTATTCACGGCCAATCAACAACTATGAAAGCAGCAATGCCAACAGCCATCCAGGCTCCTCCAACAATGGTAGTGTCTATGACGATGTTCCTCCTCCGGTGAGCAGTTCTACCCTTCAGACACAACCATCCTTCATAGAAAGTGATTATACTGCCAACAACAGCACCATTAATAACTACAGCACTCCCCCGCCTTCCTCGCGATCCAGCACTTCTGGAGGAGGCAAAATGAAAGACAAGTTTAGTGGTAGGTATCGAGCTGCAGCGGCTGCAACGACACGCTCAACGCCCGATCGTCCCAGGACTCGTCCACCAGATCGGGGCAGAATGACAGAACCGAGAGGCCGAACGGCCGAGCCCGATTCACAGGAAAGTGAAGGGAGAAGGCGAGCACGGAGTCTTTCGCGGGGATTGTCCGTTCGGGGACTTTGGCCTCCTCCCAAAGACAACCAACCGTCGGTCGAGGATGACTCTCCTGTCATGCAGCACCAGCCGCCGCAGTCCAAAGGAATACCCGTGGGACACACAAGTGAAAGGTACAGCCAACCCGTGCCACAACAGCAGCCACAGCCCCCGCCGGCATCGTTGCATCCACAAATACTCAACTCGCCAACATCGGAGCGGCCCAAGTCTCCCATTAAACGATCTCATTCGTTTGACGCCAGGCCACAATACGGTGGAGGACATCGAAGTACAGTAGTAGCAGGAGTTCCAAACAGTCTCATGCATCACCAATACCACAACAGCAAAATGAGGTCACCTCAGACAACAGTGCCGTCGCTGGAGGCCACGAACCCTAGCGTGCCTGATGCCAACATGCGCGATGAAAAGAAGGAGAACGATGATCGATCCACCGAGTCGCCTCCATTAGAAGAGACACCCTCCAAACCAAAAACCATGCCTTCTATCAAGGATCGTATCAGCAGTTTTGGGGGAAAATCACCAGGGACATCGTCGTCTTCTCAACGCAATCCACGTCGAAACACTGTTGGTGGAGCAATTTCGGGAATCTACATGAAATCCGCTGCTCCACCTCCACCCAAAGTGGATATCTACAATCAGACCAATCGTATTGCGAACGACGATCCCTCTGCACCGTCTCAGTATCTTCCCGACGACAATCCAAACAGCTTTGACGACAACAATCAGGATGGGCCCACCATGGACAACACTGCCGAGGACTATCCTACCCAGCAACCATCGGAACCTTCCTCTGCCGAAGCCAAGTACATGCGTCCAAGTCAGATGGTCATGTCCAAGAAGGCAGCGTCAAGCCGTCAGTCAGCAGCAGGAAGTGCGAGATCATCCATTGCAAGTTCCTATTTGAGTGGCATCCAATCGTCTGGAACCACCAGGAACCCGTTTCCTGCAGCACCCATGTCGGATATCAGTACCAACAGCAACAATCAGTACGCGGACGACAGTGCAATCCCTACTTCGGGTCAATTGGACGATGAAAAGTCTGAAGGAGGCAAGTCTTCTCTTTCGTACGGAGCCGATCAAGACCGTAGAAGTAAGAATTCGGTGTGGCGCAAGGCAGCAGCAGCGTCTTATGCGAATCACGTTGCAACCAAGGGAATGGAGAGCAGCGGTGCCAATGCGGTTGCAGCTGCGGTGCCGAATATCCCCCAAGGCAACATCAGTGCCAATGCTGCCAACAGCACTGGTTTGTCTGTGGAAACGATTGAACGAATGGTGGATGAACGCGTGCAAATCCAGCTGAGGGAGGTAGAAGCCCGCATGGAGGGTCTCTTGCGCAGATGGATGGATCAAATGAACAACAAGATTACCACTCGTTTGGATGCCATGGAAGCCAGCATCAAAGAGTCCATGTCGGATTCCTTCCCACGTCACGAGATTTGAGAAAGCCACACACGCTGCGGAACAGCCGATTGCTTGCGGAAGCGGACCAACTATTCCTGGAAGTGTATTGATTGGCTTGGTCTGTACCGGTGGAGCTGTATCCTTTTACTCGGACGAGAAGGAATTGTCTTGCTATTCCTTTGAATCGAATCCATTCACAAGAGCGGTACAAGGATGAAAACTAAAACTATCAAGTATCCAACTTGTGTAAACTAAAACTTGAATTTGCAAAATTGCAACAAACTTGAGAAGCTAGGATTTACGTGCCCGTTTCTTGCCGCTCTTAGCTTCCGCTGCTGTGTCGGGTTTGCTCTGATGTGGCATTACTGGTGATGGTGCTACGGGAGGCGGCAAGGAAGCGGCGGGGGCAGCCGGCACGGGTGGTGCTTTGAGGGATGCTGGTGCGATCATGTTCGTTGGCTGGTGAAGAGCCCCCGCTGCCACCGCAGCGGCGGCCGCTGCTGCCGAAGCAGCCGATGGCGACTTGGCTTCTGACTTGCGCTTTCGTTTGGTAGAGGGTTTTCGTGCCTGTTTGGTCCCTGCAGCCTGTTTGCCACCTGGTGCTTGCTTCCCCCCTGGAGCTTGTTTGCTAGCCACGGTTGCCTTGGCTGCTGCTCCCGCCTTGACGGCAGTCGCTGCAGGTTTGGCGCCTCCCTTGATGTCGGCACCCTTGTTTTTACTGTCGGTGGACTTGCCTGCTGCCTGTGCAGCTTTGCTGGCGGGGTCTGTAGATGCCGTGGCAGCCTTGGCCGCTTTTGCCGAACCCGTCTTGGTGGCAGCCTTTCCCTTTCCGCCCGCTTTGGTGGTCTTTTGCTTGGACGAAGCGGTTCCCGTGGCTACGGTAGGCGCAGCGGGTGTTGTCGGAGCGGGAGCCGGAGGCGCCGGTTTTGGTTTTGGAATGCCCAATGCCGTGTCTTCGTCCGCAACACGAATGGTTCCTCCCATTTTACTATATTTGACTCGCTTGGTTTGCAGGTGTCCTTCCTTTTGCAACAGCATCTTTTGCAGTGTCAGCAGCGTCAAAATGTCCTTTCTCACCGAGTCGTAAAGATCACAGACTCGCTTGGTGGGCAAGGGCCGCTGTGGTACCTTGAGTTCGGCCAGGACGCCATCCATGCGAGCCAAGAGTGTCTTGTTCAATCCCATGGCCCCACCAATGGCCGGAGGTGCCAGCCGTCCCGATTGCAAGTAGGGAGTCCCCGGAGTCGGTACGGGAGCCGTGGAGGCAAATGCTTGATCCAACAGTTCCGCATTGGAATTCACTTCTGGCAAGACTTCGGCGGAAGCTTCGGCAGGTGACGCTGCCCGAGAAGCATTCCGCGACGATGCTGCCGATGTGGGTGCCGTATTGTTGCCGGAAGTTTTGGCCGCATGTTTATTGTTGCTGCTGTTATTATTATTGTTGTTGGAATCTTGTGCGGCAATTATGTGGCCACCCGTTTTTTTGAGTTTTCGCAATTGTGTTTCGACCAGCCGTAGTTCCTTTCGTAGATTGGCTTCTTCCTCTTCCTCTTCTTTGGTCCGATGCCACAATTTTTCCAAATGGGCTCGTCGTTCTCGTTCATATGTCAAGTCAAATACTTTGTTGCTGGCACCGGTTCCAATATTTTGAATCAATGGTTGATGTTGGGGATCTCCCGCGGCGACGGTTCGTGCCACGGCCGTGTCTCGGAGCAATTGATCCGCAGCGGCTTTGGGATCGGCTGCTGTTGGATCGGGAGTAGATCCTTCTAGGGCATTGACTTCGGCGGCGGCTTCTTGGGCAATGCGATGCTGCATGAGAATGGCCGCCACACTGTAATAGCGATGTTGCAAGTCTTCAATTTTTCGTGAGACCATGGCAAAATTTTCCTTCTTGTCTTGTTCTTTTTGTGGATTGTTATTGGTTTTATTTTCCTCCTCAACATCATCAACTCGGTAATGATACTTGTCAAACCAGCGATCGTAAATGACAGGCCATCGCAGCTCAAATATGCGACAGAGTTCCATCAATTGATCCGTCTCGGCTTTGGTCCAATTCTCGTGTTTGAGAATGCTAAAGTATTCTTCGTCCGTGTAGGAAACTGGCTCCAAATGAATGTCAAACTTGGCGTAGGGGTAATCGGGATACTCGACTCCCGCTCTCACCCAGTGATTCAGGAGTAATCCATCGTTGCGAGCCGACGAGGCAAAATTGGCCCAAATCCATTTGCGGGCTGGTTTCTGCGTATGGATCCATTTGTTGCCCACTTTGACCAGGGCATCAGCTGTGGTCGTTGTAGGAACAATGGGTGGCAATGCGGCCGATGCTGGATCTTGGCCCACCACAAGATCCAACGTGCTGCTACTGCTGTTGGCCATCATACTCATCTTGCTGGCTCGAGAAGGATGATGGCCCTTGGGCCGTGGAGGAGGCTTGATGGGATCACTCGCATCCTTCGTTGTTGTGTTCTTGGTACCTCCGAGAATCTGAGCTACATCACTCATAGTACCTGGTAACTATACTTGTCCATCAAATCAAATCAAATCAAACCTAGGATTGCCTTTGGTATCTAGCTAGGTTTAGTTTTGCGTCTTATCAGCATGGTCGACATGGATCTTGATCAGCGCATGAGACCTTCCCGCGAGCTTTGGTGCTCTTCCCCACGTTTTCCTATTATTAATAGCAGCCTAGCCTGGCTTAAATGTATTCGAGAAGCTGACATGGCTGTTGACGTCACATGGAGAGTCAGACAGCTGACTCACCTCCGTACTTTTACGGTACTATCGTATCATAGTTGAAAGACATTCGAATGAGAGTGCGAGAGAGCACGTTGGCAGCGCATGTCGACATGTCAGCAGTCAGCATCAGCATCCATTATCCATTCTTCACGTTGTGTCTCTCAAGGTTGTAATCAGTAATGTATGCCATGACCTCATAAAAGGATTCGAATTCGATTCCTTCTGAGAATTGTGTGTCCACGTCTCTCTCCATTTTGATTTGGCAATGGCATTTTCAAGTGAAAAAGACGCTGGAATTGGCGGAAAGAGAGCTCAAAGAAGAACAAGTACAAGTTTGTTTCTCGCCACCGTCCTGTTGGCATCCTCCTTCTCCGTGACTTCATCATTTCTTTTGCACCAAAAGAGCATGGGTGGTCCATTATTGGTTCCTTCCCAGTGTGTCTCTGCGTCCACAAAGAAGAATTACAAGAAGAAAAGGAAAAAGAAGACGGTAGTGGGCCTGGTACCGCTCCCCCACAATGCCGCCGATTTTCTGTTGGTTCCTTCCCAAGTCCCCAATGGAAACAAGCAACACCAGTCGCGTCAGTCTACATCGCAACTGTCCGTGTCATTATCCCAAGACGTTTCGGAAGCCACAGCAACATCGCTACATGCTGGAGCAAATAATGTCCTGAAGCATCCCCTAAAAACCAACCATCCCAAGCAAACAACGACTAATCCTCGAACACGAACAGTCAACAACAACTGCAACAGGGCAAATGCCAACCAACGCAGGAATCCAGCTGACACAAACAAAAAAACAGCCAGAAGAAGTGTAGGGCGGACTCGCTTTGGCAATCTCCCAGACATTGATTGGTAAGTATTCTTTACTTCGTCATGATGTGGACATTCATGATGACGCTGTTGAGGATGCATGTCATCGTGAGGAACAAGCATCTCATCAACTTTTTTATATACGTGCCACAGGGGAGCGATTTCCATGGACCATCTACGCGAGCACCCTCGGTTTGTGCCGTTGCCCTTACCAGATGACTTGCCCAAAATGACCAGTCTCGAAGATGCCCGCAACATTCGACAGGACTCTTGGCAGTGGGATACCTTGCATGATGGACGCTGTACCACATCGCAGGCGGTCGCAGCTCTGGGATTCTTGGAGGATAAGGCTGGAAACGAGTTGGGCATCCCGTCCACATGGCACCGACGAGGTGTCGGGGCCTATGAACGATTACAACAACCGGCATTGCGAACCTTGCAAGAAATGAATGACGTTCTGATACCGCCCAACAACAGCAACAAGAACACAAATAATAATCTTGGCAAGGATAGAAACAAGTTGTGGAAGCTTCCCGAAGAGGAGCACATGATCCATGAGGAGATGCAAACACAACAACAGCCAGCAAAGCAAAACAAGAGAGCGTTTGCTGCCAAATACTTGCACAAATTGTCCTCCAACGAACGACAATCCCGTCGAAGAAGAGCTCTTCAATATGCATCCGTGGGAGGAATGGGCATCCGTATGATGTGGGGGAATTCGCAAGAGTCAACATCAATCTTGACGGCTCTCAACTACTTCCTGCAGCAAGACCCAAACGTGGTCATGAAGGAGGTGGGCATGTGTGGAGCCGGACTTTCCTTGAACCAGACTGACGGTGCGTCGCCCTCATCGCTTTTAATTGGGGCAACCCCCGATGCTGTCATTGAGCATCCAGATGGGCGGATTGAGGCTGTTGAAGTCAAGAATCATTGCCCGTTTGTCGTCAGTAACACATATCGCAGAACGGGAACAGCAAACAATCAAAACAAAAAATATACTGTGCGCGAGCTACCCTTCAAGAAACCATACATCTTCCCACTGTACGTTCCCCAGCTCATGCTGGAGATGCTCTGCCTGGGGCCCAAGTGCCGATCGGCAGTAATGGTTCGCCAAACAGCAACGAGTGGGGCTATGATTCTTCGGATTCAACGTGATGATGCTTGGATCGAGGAGATGCTCTACTGGTTGCAGCGTTTCCAGCAGGATTTTGTGGAGCGGCAGGAACAACCGAAAGAGGACTTCTTCTATAGTGACCCAGAGGATGGGCCAAGGTACCGTGCCTTCTTGGAAAGGACCAAGGAGATCGCCAACTCTGTCGATTTGGTATCCAAGGTCCCACACCGGATGATACAACGCTCGCACTCTGCCGAATCCATGTTTCTGGACTAGTCTAGGACGATGGATGGTGCTAATAATACTTACTGTACATAGGATCTTGTCTAAATTGTAATGTAGATGTTCATTGTCAGGAGAGCCACAGAACGCGAATCGAGTTGGCACACAGCTAACTTGGTTCAATTTCACGAAGTCAATGGAAGGAAAGCTGCTCCCTCAAAAACGAACAATGGAAAATGGAAGGATTGAATGATGAATCGAATCTGAATCGAATGATTCAATCGAGGATGGAATAATTGAATCGACTGAATCGAATCGAATCGAATCGAATGATTGAATCGAGGCCGGATCTTTGATGTTGACACCACTTCTCGTTTGATTTGCACCCAAAGCAAGCACAAAAAGCAACGGCTGTCTTGCACCAGCAACCATCCGTTCGAGCACCATATTTCATTCATGAAGAGGTCTCTAGCTAGCCACCATGACAGCCAAAACCTACAAGTCTATCATATCTCCTTCTTTGCTTTCCTGTGACCTTGCAAATCTGGAAAAAGATGCGAAGGAAATGATGGAGATGTAAGCTAGCTAGATTTCATTCGAACTGTGATGTCCTTTATTCATCTTACTTGCATTCCAGTATGTTCCTCACAACTGCGTTCGTTGTTTTGATTTAACCAGGGGATGTGAATGGCTTCACATGGATATCATGGACGGCCATTTTGTCCCAAATTTGACGTTCGGGCCACCAGTGATTTCCAGCCTTCGAAAGGCCCACAAAGATGTGCGTGATTGCTTTCATTTATTTTAATTATCTCCGTTGGATGAAGACTGCTCTCACATTTTTAATTTCGCTACCCGCCATCATTCACGAAGGCTTTCATTGACTGTCACTTGATGGTAACCGAGCCAGCAAAATGGGTGGCACCTCTGCAAAAGGCGGGAGCCAGCAATTTTACCTTTCACATCGAGAGCGAGATGCCCGAGGGAGGCCCCAAAGCGATGATTAAAATGGTCAAAGACGCGGGGATGAAAGTTGGAATCGTCATCAAACCCAAAACTCCTATTGAAGAAGTGTTTCCGTACGTGGATGATATTGATTTGGTCCTGATCATGACGGTAGAGCCTGGATTCTCGGGGCAGAAATTCATGCCTGATGTGATGCCAAAGGTCAAGGCGTTGCGAGAAAAGGCACCAGACTTGAACATTCAAGTGGACGGAGGTCTTTCGCCCACGACAATTGACTCTGCAGCAGAAGCGGGGGCAAATGTGATTGTTGCCGCATCGGCCATTTTTGGATCGGATGATCGACAAGGCGTGATCAATTCACTACGAGCGGGTGTGGACAAGCAAATTCAGAGCTAGCCACACTGTGGTTGTGTAATGGCTATGCGGTAGCTAGATCGAGGCTGCCTGTCGATCGTCTTTTGGTCTTAGCCGGCAGTACCGGTATTCTCATTGGACTACAGTACATGCATTTATGAATTTTTATCAGAAAGAAGCAGCGAAACTAAAGCCCAGGAGCGTTCCTCAATCGTGCATGAAACCGACCCTAAAATAGGGTCGGATTTAGGGTCGGATTCCCTTTAGGGTCGGGTTTCGAAACCCGACCCTAAAAATAGGGACGTTTTCTGAAAAATAGGGACGGTTTTTCAAAAACCGTCCCTAATTTAGGGTCGGGTTTCGTTTTAGGGTTGGGTTTTGAAACCGTCCCTATATTTAGGGACGGATTCCCCCAAACCGACCCTAAATTAGGGTCGGATTTAAAGTAATGCACGATTGAGGAACGCTCCTGCATCATCAGATTCGAAGACAATCCTCTTCATTGCACTGTTGATAGTGTTAGCTGGGCTGGGCAATAGTACTAAATACATTACAATTCAGCTTGCTGCAAGTAGTATCAATCCGAAACGAAAGCCAAACAAACCCTCCCAACTTCAAAAACATTCTTTGCTTACACAGGTACTCACTGCCGGTGGTGGTTTTTCTGGTAAGTAACAAGTTGTTAGTAAGCTTGTTCCCCTCTAGATGGTACTACTTGACCAAGCCAAAGAGGACCCAAATCCCAGACTTCAAAGGTGCACACTTGGGAGGGCCTAGAACTGACTCCCTGCAGAGAAAATGTAACCGCCAATGGGCTCGCATAGAATGCGATGGCAATGGGCTTTTTAAGTGCCCACTGTTAACTAAGATGAGTCAGCAGCTGGTGCCAGTACCTTTTGCTTTGCTTTGATGCTTTTCTCCACCACAGGGAGCCAATTTTACTGGTGGCCAGCCAGCCAGAGGGATACTGTTACGTACCCGTACATGTATCCATGCAAGATTCGAGTCCTTCCGTGAGGTCAAATAGTGTTATCAGCTTCATTGGCTAAATTTCGAGTCTGACTTACTTTATTGGTGTCATGACAACTCCAAATCTTCGCGTGACGAGTGTTCTTTCTCCCTCCGACCTTTGAAGTCCTTTTTCATCTTTGCTGGCTCTGAAAGGAGGAAAGAATTTATGAGGGCACGGTTCCACAGCCTTTCCTTGACAAACGTGAAGGAAAACAAATAAAGTTCTTGGACCGACAGAGGACAGAAGAGCTGCATCATCGTCACTGAAGGTCTGCTCATCACGAACAGAAATACAGTGCATCATCCATCCAATCTTGTAACAGCAAAACAAGCATGAAAGAGACCAAGCAAGGATGATGGATGCTGAATGATTAGACCCAGAGAAATTTGTCTGAAACTGCCCTGGGAGCTAACGAGAAAAGCCAAGGAGGTAACCGCGGTAGTGAGGAGGGCATGCTACTTGCTAGCTACTAGTAGATCAATCCGATCTGAATAAGGAGATCTGATGTACATCCAAGTTCAGTTGAATAAATATTAAAGTCTGACAAAAGGGATGGAGACTGGAGATTGGAAGGGTATCCATGCAAGGAGGTCCTGATCAATGCATCCACCACGGAACTGGATGGTGACTGATTTTGAGGGCCCGTTAGAACGGGTCTCGGCTAGCCAACAAAATCTAGAGCAACAAACCGTGCCCTCGTGCAGTAACATAGGGATTGTAGGGTGCTCGTTGGTTGTGATAGTGATTTCAAAGGCTTAAGGGATCTGTGCGGAGCGTGACGTGGCCTCTCAGAGGGATCCTGGCGAGGTACGATCGCTCTCTCAAGTCGCATGGTGTTACAGAGCGGCTACACTCTTGATCAATACAGTCTGTCTTGTCACCTCAGAGCGCTGTTGTATTTCTGAATTTAGTTTTTGGTCGGTGGACATGAAAGAGTAGTGGGAGTTCAAGGAATGAAAGTTATAACCTAGCTAGACAAGTTGGGTTGGGCTGCAGAGCACACCGGTACCGTAGTGAGCATAGAAAGTGAAGCATTTGATGCTTCATTGGGCCCTTTAGCAAGAGGGTTCTGCATTCCAGGTCCACCGTAGGCAATACTCAATTGACTAGGCAAAACCATAACTAGTAGGAGATATCAATAGTTACTGTGCATCATTTCTGAGCAGGCAGTGTTGCTGTCAGACAGTAGCATCATACCAGTATTTTCACCAGACTTAGTTAGTTTTACATGTTCTAGTAGACTAGCTAGCTAGATCTATTAAGGGCATTCTCTAACTTTTCGTTCGTCCTAATTTTCGTTCTAAAATAACGATTTAGAACGAATTTTAGGACAAAAGCAATCTCTAACTCAAATTCGTCCTATTTTTAGAACGAATTTTTAGGACGAAAAATAAATTCACGTCCTATTTTTCGAAATTGCGACGAAAAATAAAACTCGTTCTAAAGAATCGTCCTAACTATTCCCTTAAATCCTTGAGTCTCCTTTTTGACATCAGTCATCGGCGACTCATCGACGACTGAGTTAACACGATTCAACTCGCACCTCTTCGCACCAATACTCTTGCACCTCTATGGGTACATGTACCGTACCAAGATACTCTTGCACCTCTATTGGTACCAAGATAACAAACTTCAACAGGTACCGGTACCGTGGGAAGCTCCTAGCCACACTATCAGGACCACTTTAATAGGCCAATAGAGGAGAGGTGCAGGTAGGACGAGATTTAAAACCAGCTTTTTAGAGATTGAAACTCGTCCGTCCTAAAACTCGTCCTATTTTAAGTCTGGTTTTAGAACGACTTTTTTAGAGATTGCCAGTTCGTCCTACAAACTCGTCCTAAGTTTAGGACGAGTAGCTTAGGACGAGTTTTTAGGACGAGTACAACTAGAGAATGCCCTAATAGTCTGGTCCAAGCAAGAAGAGAGGTCTGAAGTGCAGCTGTATTTCACTGGAAGCACACTCCCCCCTCAATTGGAAGAAGACCAAAGGTGTCGAAGGCCACAAATTGTTGCAGGGTTGGAACCCAACCTTTGGTCGTTTCACAATCTCGACCATGGCAACAGATCAGAATCCTTTTCATGGACCAGGATCTTGCTCAACACCCCAAGGCGAAAGCTCAGCAGCTGGTGTTTTCTCTCAACAAACTTGGCAGTGTTGTAGAGTCTGTTGTGGTGAGTTCATCTAGCGAACGGCCGTCGCTGACCCAGTACAAGGAGGCGATATTTCGAAGTGGTCACCTCTCACTTCGTGGGACGATGATGAATGGGAATGGTTTTCACCATCAACCTCGCCATCCCTCCCGAGACAATCTACAACAGCGTCGCAGTGGTAGTGCGAGTGGTGCTACACCTCGAAATAGTAATAATGCCAGCGGCCATGCCCGAGTTCGGTTTCCCGATGATGAAGGAGCTTCCGGACTCCACAATCCACACTCCCAAAACAACAACCAGCTTGCCAACTTTTTCAGCGCGATAGTGGGTGTCTTCTTTGGAGGAATTGCGTCCATTTGCCTGTTGGGATTGTTGACGATTCTGGGCATTCTCTACGTGGGGATCAAACCATTTTCTGTATCCATGTATCGACGCCTCGCAAACCAATTGGCGGCAGCATCCTTCCTCGATGCCATTGCTCTGCTACTACCCAATATGCGACTATATCTGACAGGAGATTCCGATGTTCCAAGCCCAGTAGGGACTTCCATTCTGGTCTGTAATCACTTGATGGATGGAGATTGGTGGCCCATTCTCATGTTGGGCCGTTGCGTGGGATTGAGAGGCAGTGTCAAGGCCATTATGCGCAATGAGATTCTCCATTTGAACATGAACACACAACAAAACAACAATAGCAGTGGAAGTGGTGAACACAGTTCTTCCAGAGATACTCCGCGAGAACGAAGAAGCGCTTCACAATCGTCTCCCGCCATGCTCAAACAAGCTACCGCTGCCGCAGTCGCAGTGGCAGCTGCTCGCAGTGGAGCCACTATCGGTGGTGGTGGTGGCTATGGATCACCATCAGCAGGAGCCGAAAATATCCTCCTTTCCAATAGTAGTGGGAGCAGTTCGGGGAGTCCAACGTCATCGAATGGCAGCAGCAGTGGCGCACACACGAGGCATCACACGTCACGCGATTTGAAGATTCTCGCAAAACTGCTCCATGCCTTTATGGAATTCCCCTTGCTCAATGGAGAAGATTACATATCCGATAGAGAACACCTGTTTCAGCTATTGCGATCCTTTGCCGAAAACAATGGAGCAGAGGCGCCCGTTCATCTTCTCTTTTTCCCGGAAGGATGGTCCCTTCATAATGGTGCTGATCGAAGAAACGTGCTAGCCATGAGTAATGAATTTGCCAAACGAGAAGGACGTCCTCAGCTCAGACACTTGCTATTGCCGAAAACAACTGGATTCAATGCCAGTTTGGAATGTCTCCGGGAATCCAGTCCAGTTGTGTACGATGTCACCATGGTAAGTGTCGTGCTTGTGTTTGCGTTTGTTTCTCCGTTGAATGTCGCTTTTTCGTTTCTCTTGCAACTGACCACTGAGTTAATGCGCACATACGCAACCCAACACAACACGACACGACAACGATAGGCTTACAGCGGTTACGATGGATCCCTCCCGCCAAAGTTTGATTTATCATTTCAGTCACTGTGGACTCTGATGAGACATTCCTTCCCCACTGAGATCCATATTCGAATCAAACGCTACTCCATGGAAGAAGTCTTGCAAGATGCAAGTTGGCTCGATAAGAAATGGGCCGAGAAGGATCGACTGCTGAGCTTCTTTTCTACACATCAATCATTCCCAACCGATGGACGAGGATTCTGTCGACATCGAGTCTTCAATTCCCGAACTCATTCCATTGAATCGTCAGTGATTGCCTTGTCGCGGTTGCTGGCCATGCCTTGGACCATTCCTTTTCTTCTCTTCTGTTCCATCCCATTGTTCTGGACAGTCCTGTGGATCTACCTGATTCATCGAGGCTTCAAGGCCATTTTCCCCGAAAACGCAGACGAACGATTGTCATCCAACGACGATGCCGGATCGACAGGAGTGGCAGGCCAAACGCCACGATCAGAATCCGCAACGCCCTTCTTCCCAGCCACGCCATTTGCTTCTCCCTCGGTGGCCACATGGAGAGACATGATTGCCAACCGTGACAATGACAACCCAAAATAGAACACTCTACTCAATCAAGAGCAAACAACTTGCCATTACGAGCGAACCAACCAGCGCGCATGACCACCGATCACCACCCTATTATTGTACGCTTCAACCCGTCTATATCATATACTTCCTCCCCTTTGTTGTTCTGATGTTGTCCACTTCACACTGTTCCCAAGAAACAGCAGCCAGCAGCTAGCTAGTAATAGAGCGTCAACAAAGCTTGTAAAACTAAATGAAAGCCTTTTAGTTCCGTACACTACTAGTAGCTAGATGAATGGTAGTCCACCACAGAGCAGAACAGCAACAGAGAAAGCACCACGAACTAATGGTCACAGCAATCCCTGCTCAAGTGTTCAGCTTTATGTAGGCCTCGAAAATACCACCGGGATTGACACACCATTTTTGTGCTTTTCAAGAAACTGCTGCAGACATGCCCCTGTTTTGTGTTTGCCTCGTTCAGCGTTCTCTCCATGCCTTCAGCCCGCTTCCTTGAGTCCGTGAGAACAGCTCTTCTGGGTATCCAAGATCTCCAAAGTTGATGCAAACTGGATGCTTTGAAATGGGCCACGTGACTGGATACCGGTAAGACAGCTGTTACACATACCGTAGTTGTGCGTGCCTGGCCACATCGCTCAATGTCTGCAATGGGCAGAATACAGTACTCGTACATGCAAAGAGGAAGAGGAGGAAGACAGCGCTGAGTGATGATTGCAGTTTGTTCTACGCCGATACCAGTCCTTGGTGATCCAAAGATCTGATGCCGTTTGGCTCTTCACCCAGTGCAAATGACCCAACTACATGTACGTGTTTGTTGCTGCTTCTCATACCATGGTAAACTCTGTTGCACACCAATACTGGAACTACCACCAGTTAGTCTATTGAGTCATTTGGCTACCCTTACAAGAGGACATTCGGACTCTAGCTCGCTAGGCTTTTCGAGACTCATCAATAGTTTTCTTCAACTCTTTTTCGGCTTGTGTCAGTAGTCGCCCCTCTTTTATTTTCTCTTTGCGTTCGCTGTATCGGTTTGTCAAGTCGTCAGCCACGGGCACCATAACAGCTGTGAACTTGGCATATTCTTCTGCCACGTCCACCACTCGATCTCGGAAACCAGAATCTTTCATGCGCCCTTTGTCATCAAACTCCTGCCAGGCCTTGGCGACCGAAGACTGATTTGTGCAGCAAGGCATCCTCATCCTAGATCACAAAGAAAAGAAGACGCATTACATGTATGTCAGTGAAAATCCTTTGCATCAGTCTCACATTCGTTTTGAGATTCTGCCGGGTGTTGTCAGCACTGTCTGTCCTTACCATCTTGCCAGCAGTCGCAGTGCATTGATAGCATTGAAGGATTGACTGCCGCCGTTGACTTGTGCCACACAACAAGTTTTGCCTTGGGTAGGTCGAACGGATCCAGTGTTTAAGGGGATCCAATCAATTTGGTTCTTAAAGGTGCCTGTAATAGTCCCATGCATTTCCGGACTAACCCACATGTGTCCGTCCGACCAATGCGTCAAGGCTCGTAATTCCAGCACTTTGATTTCATTTTCCAAGGCAGGGTCTCGTACAGGCAGACCACGTGGATTGTAAACTCTCACGTCGCAACCCAAGAGCTCCAATAAACGAGCAAATTCATAGGCGAGTTTGCGACTGAATGAGGTTGGCCTCAGCGATCCGTAGAGTACCAAGATTTTGGGTGCTCGTCCAATGGGCATGGTAGAATAGTCGAATTTCGTGATATATGGAGCAATTTCTGTTTGAATCCAGTCCAACGTATCGTCTTCAGCTGATGTTTCGAGACCAGCGCGGTGGGCCAACCAACCGCCGACATGAGTGGTGGGATCCGAGGAGACTGTGTATCCTGGATGCTCCAGTGAATGGAACAACTCTTTGTTCGTTCCATCCCATGTTTCTGTGGCTGATGGTTCCTCCGACATAATATGAATTTTTCGATCAGACCCGCCTCGCAAAGCAGCGCTAGTCTTCAAAAAGGATACTCTCGGTTGACGAGAGAAAACAGCCCTGGAGATGGATAAAGGTCGAGAGAGGACTGCTCTTGGCGCTAACAAAACGAAGGGAACACCAATACAGCGGCGAACAGTGGAGCTTGTTACCATGGACTGCTCTTGAAGCTGACCAACACAATTCCGATGATTGGCGCCTCGTCTGCTTTCACTGCCTGCTCTGTGTTGTTGTTGATGAGCTGTTGTCTCAGTGGACCTCTGTGCGTGAGCTGTTGTCGTGGAACCTGTTGCGTCTGAGAATGAAAAAGTGCGGAAGAAGGCAAAATCTTCCTCTTCGGATGACGTCCTGTACGTGTCGGGAACAAAAAAGAATTTCTTGGCAACGCACGTCGAGACACCTTCTTGCATCAACGGCCACTTTTTCTCTCTCTCTTCGTTTCCTCCCTAAGGCAAGGCGCTCTCAATCAGGTTTCTCGCTCAAAGCCCTCTCCAGCTCCGAATCGAAGGCAAGATGACGACAAAGATGGCATCTCCAGAAGCCACCTTTCCTATCGGTAATTCAGAACATGAACTGTTTAGCCCTGATTTAACTCCCGAACGTATCGGCAAACTCAACAACTCTTGGAGCATGGAGTTGAGCCCCATCGCCCTCAGCCGAGACGACGCTCACACATTGGATGATGGCTCTCCTCCCTTCGAGGAAGAATCCAAAGAACATGAGCATATCAATCCATTCTCGGAGCCAGTACTAAAGGATCAGGAGTCAAAAATGTCAAACACATTGCCGTCCGAAGAAGAAAAATCAAATGCAAGAGATGTGGTGACAACATCAGATTCTCTTCAACAGCACCACAACGGCCCCAAAGAAAGACTAAGCAAGAAAGACTCCAACCCGTCTTGGTTTTTGAGTTCCGACACGACATCCCCCCTCTCAACATCCAGTGAGTTTTCCTTGGAAATGGTGACGCCTACTGCTACTGAAGGAGACGAGAACACTGTTAGCAGCGCCGTTCCAACCTCCAAAATAAGTTCGAGCAGAGAACATAACAACGATGCGCACTTCAAGAAACTTGCCAAAAAGCCATCTACAGAGACAGTTGTGCAGTCTCCTTCAAACTGTTTTGATTTGGAAGACGAAACGAGACAAGTTGCTAGCAGCGCCGTTCCAGCTTCTCAAATAAGTTCGAACAAAGAACATAACAACGATTCGCCCTCCAAGAAACTTCCCAAAGAGACAGTTGTGCAGTCTCCTTCAAAATGTTGCGATTTGGAGCATGAAACGAGACAAGCTGCTTCAGGTCGTCGCGGCGAGGCGTTGGCCATCAGGTCAATTGTTGGTGACCGTGATAAACCCGACACAGCAGAACACGACAGCGAGGCTGTCACTACAAACACTAATGAACACGGAAGCAATGATGCTGCAAAATCCAATCAATATCTACAAAGCAATGAGAGGTCATCCATACTCGAGCACAGTGAGCCATCGCGATCGAGTCAAGCGGAAGGACAAGACCACAATGCTGAGACTACTAGTACTGTTGCAAATACCGGTACCATTGAGCCCAAATCGCAGAATAGACTGTCATTTTCACCATCGAAGCTGCTAGATGAATCAACTCTACAACATCCAGATACGAGCTCTCTGATTGACGACGCAACAAAGAAAGTAAAGAGATTCATCCATGAGCTCTCGATTCTTAGCTTGTCTCCGCACAGAAGGAATAGCAACGGACGAACGCCGAGCCGTACGACTGACAACAACCGAAGCGAATTGAAAGAGCGGAAGGAGGGACTTTCAGCAAAACTGCAGACCCCAGACAGGGAAGAAAGCCATTATCAGTCTCCATCCCAAAAACATGATTCGATGCACGGCGTCTACGGCAGTCCTTTGCACAAGCAGTCTGAAATGTGGTGTTCACCCAGTCGAAATAATGCTTCTTCTTCCCGCATCGACTCTGGGGAGGATGGGGCTCTTGGCACTCCAGGGAAACAAGATTACAACGGGACCAAGCAACAGCTCGTAGCCACATCCTTTGATTTTATTCAAAAGATCAGTGGCGCAGCAAAGGCTCGCACTCGCAAGATCACTCGGTCCAGAGACTCATTGGTTGCAAAGGTGCGAGATCATCAAAAGGCGCAAGAGCAAGAAAATGAGCTTGCTGCAGCATCGAACGGGGTCAGTCCACAAGCCCAGTCCAAAGTGCAAGACAAGGGCTTCAAGCAAGCGTCGACGTCGTTCAAAGCCAAACCAGTTCCCGTCAGAAACAAAGAGAGAGGAGGGCTGAGGGGAGTACCTCTCGTGACGAAGAAGTCAGTTACAGTCCCCTCGTCCCCACTTCTCGGTTCACGTCGCCCCAATCCTCCAAAGGTCAAAGCCCTAAAACAACCAACTGCAAAGCCCCGACCCTTGGAAATACGGGAAACAATAGGTCAGAACAAGAGGAAGGAAAACCCGTCACTGAGCGAAGGATTCAAGGCGCGCCCAGTGCCGTCGACTACCGGCGACCTGGGAAAAGGCGGCCAGTCAGGTGTCCCAAAAGTGCCAAAGCGACCTGTGACTGTCCCTCGATCGCCTTGTTTGGGTCCACGAAGAAGACAATCATCGATCGTTGGTGGAAAAGAAAACCAGACGCAATCGAAGAGACCATCAATAGCGGCCTCGACCAACACGAAAGCTTCCCCAATGGTACGTAATTACCCTTGCATTCTTTTTGTACTCAGTCAACGGCTTTCTCATTTTCTTACACAATCGACCCGCTTCGTCCACAGTCCATGTCTTCAGTTAGCGATGCGTTGCTCGGATTGGACTTTTTGAGCACAAAGTCAGCTTTCGAGCATGAAATGACGCCTACCAAAACACCAAAACAATCGAGGAACGTTGGTTTTGTGCCTCGAAGTACTCAGAGAGCAAGGAAACGAGCCGAGTTCGAGGCGCGAAGAGCTATCAATGAACAGCTCAGAATAGAAGAAGAGATCAAGCGGAGGCAACAAACTGTCCGCACCATGTATGGGGAGCTTGAAACACTCAGGGACATCATATGAGGAACAACGCCCGTGCCGGGATGGATCACATGCGCAATGGCCTAGCATCCAAAGGTTCCAAAGGTTGAAGGTATAAAAGGGGTAACGAAAGTAAACTACAAATATACAGATGTATTCCGTCCGTTCTGATTTGATAATGTGGTGGCAACTCCTCACGACGAAGCGCAAAAGAACGGCCAGAGATTCTGGCTTCGACTTGAGATCTTCCTGCCGCAAGCACTCTCAATGCCCGTACCGTACCGTACCGGTACTGATAAAGGCGACACTTCTTCAGACAGGCTGACACGAACTGGTCCATTTGCTGCCGTACAGGTACGGTACTACCGGTAGCTACCTTTACCGTAGTAGCTTTTGCACCCCTTCAAAACTTTACCAGCCCCTCCCCAGTCTATGACTCCAACACGCCGTTCAGGCAGGTCATGCTACATGGGCGGCACATTCTTCACGTGGGACCAATCCGCACATCCATCATTTAAAAAGATTTACTCGACCAGACATCTTACACCGGACAACTATTGTACAGTATAACTCACTTACACTGGGGACGCTTTAGTTGAACTCCTTAGAAATCCTCACACTGCCGGTGACGAGAACCAGCCCATGTGGCAATAGCACAAGCTAGCTATAGCTATAGCTTTGCCGCACCTTCAAAGCTCATCAGCCCCCGGTCTTCCACTCCAAGATGGATCCAGGTCATGCTGCATACATGGGCGGCACTTTCTTCACTCTGACTGTCGCAATCGATCCCTGGATACGCTGGAACTTACGCACTCGGCCGCCTAACACTAGCTAGCTAGCCAGGGGCACAGGAGCTATATTCGGGTTTCGGGTTTCGGGTGTTCCATTATTTGGCTCTCAGCCAGTGACCCCAGAAACCTTTCTTCGCTTCTTTGCTCTCTTCTGCGAAAAGATGCAATGCATGGACCGAAGCCGAATGCCTCAAGCACTTCAGTATTCAACTCTTTGTAAGACTCCACGAAGCAGGAAGCTGCTTCCCAACTCTTGGGGCTGTTGGGCTACTGATGTGAGCAGCCTTTGAGCTTTGAAACCGTCCTGGGAATTGAATTAAGTAATTGGCGAGGGCCATAGGCTGCCGGAGAAGTTCATGACCTCATCTTCGAGGAGGAACGAAGGGAGGCAAGGAGGCAAGGACGCAAGGACCAGTTGAGCTCCTGTCATACTAGCTAGTACTCTAGAGTCTAGAGAGAGTAGTATTATTTATTCCAAAAAAATTTGCTGTGGGATGGGGAGGACAAAGAACGCTACAGGAATGACGCAGGCTTAATAAGGCTTCCGGAATGGGATTCTTTTGAATGGGAAGTGGGGTCATTTGAGCCTTCTTCGGCTTTTGGAATCGAAGGGTACACGTACTTATGTACCAACTACTTGGGTATCAGCAGCTGTACTTTCAGCTCAAGCTTCAGGTTCAAGGAGGGAGATTTCAAGGGTCATTATTCCACCGGTATTTGTGCTCTTGTACTTCTAGAAACATTTAACACAATAATGAGCTTACAGTAAGTATTCACGCTGTTGTTGTCAAGTCTTAAGTCATTGCTTGCTTGAGAGCGGTCTTCTTGGGCGAAGGAAGCGTAGCTGCTGTAAGTTTCTCAAGAATCAAGACCAACACTGAAAGCTCACCCACATCAACCTCCAAAAGGTCCTCTGATCACAAAAAAGCGCTGCAGCCAGCAAACTGCAGCGATCTACTCCCAGACTGCAACAACAGCGAAGCTCGATCACCAAGAAGACACCAAGATGCCTGAAGCAATCGCAAGCGCCTCCGCCTCATCATTAAGTTTGGGACAGCTATTGAATGCCCGACAGAACCTGACAACAATTGACAAGGCTCTGAGCCAGATTCAGCAACTATTGGAACAGAAAGAGTCCTTGGAAGCTGAGATTGTCGCCCTGAAGCGTGAAAAGTCCAAACTTACTCACGAGGTGGTGTCATTGCGGAATGAGTGTGACGATGACAGTTCCAGAAAGGCCAGTAGCTTGCCTGATCTAGGGATTGCCTTTGGTGGCGACGACGACAGTTCCAGCTATGACAGTGACGACAGCGACGAAGAGATGACCAACAGTGAACGCAAGGCCAAGGCCCCAGAACACTTTATTTGCCCGCTGACGCTTGAAATCATGAAGCATCCAATGCAGCAGAAAGGTACCCAGAACAACTACGAAAGAGGCGCCATTTTGGAGTGGATATATTTTGGAAAGGCCACCTGTCCCATGACCCGCAGAGTGCTACATCCAGGCGACTTTGTTGAGAATACAGTCTTGGAGCGTGAGATTGAAAGTTGGCTTGAGAAGTATGGTGTTTTGGACGAATCTGCCGACGACGACGAAGACAACGGCGACCCCATACCTACTCTGACACCCGAAGAGGAAGAGATGCAACAGCAACGGTTGCAAGTTGTCCAGGTTAAACGCGTGGGATCCCATAACGAATTGATGGGCCTTCGGGATCGCGTCCTCCGAAAGCAAGCTGCCCGAGCCCGTCGCCGGATGTCGACTCATGGAGGACTGCGTGTATAGATTGGATCCACCACAACACAAGGTGAGATCTCACAACAAGCGCACAGCTGGCAAAGAAAGAATTGGTCGACATTTTAGCGAAAAATATGCATTGCACAACAAGAACAATGGTACCATATGCACTGAATCCTGGCTGCTGGTGATGCGGAGGGGAGCTCTGCTTCCAATCTCGTGCTACGGTACGATACCCCTTCACGGTACTAGTCTAGATAACAAACAAAACAAAACAACACAATAGAAAGCAAAGCTATCCTTGATGCAGCACTTACTTAATTAGGTTGTCTCGATAGGATGACGAGTGGAATGACCTCTTGTCCGTCATGATCCCTTTCTGGCTGTTACTCCCCTAGAATGGAATGGATTCGATTCGATTTACAGTGCGGTTTCTGGTACACAGACCACTGTAGTTCTCGGCAGCAGGTGCGTCATCTTTTTGCACACCAGGATAATGCTGCCATACAATTGTATGCTTCGCTGGTCCGGACAAATTATGCTCGCACGGTGCTTGGTCTTTCAATGCCGAACATTCTACCGCAAGATGAAAGCCAATTCTCGAAAAGGCAACCCTTCCTTGGCGTTCAGACCAAAACATAATAAGGGGGAAAGATCGTCTCTCCCAACTGCGACGTTTGCATACCCAGCTCTCGAGTTTACGGATGAAATCGAAATCTGGAACCTGGGAGCACAGGAAGGAAAAACAAGGGCTGATGCGCATGTCAATGAATCGAACTATAAGGATGGGGCCGCCGCGGTTGGAGAAGTTCTCGTGGCTGGGTACAATTTACGGCCCACTGGAATTGCTTAAGTCGGTTTGGGAAAGTCTTGGTCGGCGGAAGTTCTTGAAACTATTGTACGCTCCCAGCTTTCCGACCGCATGGACGATGTCCTTTTGGTACTGGTACTAGTAGATTGCCAGCATACTTTTAAAAATACCGCTAGCGGTGGCTGGTACTGTACAGCCGTACCAGTACAGTCGTACCGGTACCGTATTACTAATATACAATGGTAGTCACATGATAGAGGGTATCCGTCTTAGGGGAGTTGTATCGACTGGTGGGACTTACCCCGTAGTCATAGTAGACCAGTCACCCCCTCTTAGGCCTAAGTATGGCAATCTTGTATTGGGGTATAGAGATACGCATTGGACATTGAGAGTATTTTGCCGGGGGAAACCAGGCATTTGAGGGTATCCGATACTACTCAGAATCGCATATGTAGTTGCATCGGCAACCCCAAAATACAACATTTCGCCTAAGTATCTTTACCAAAATACAACCTCAATCGTACGAAGAACAACTAGTCACACACAAACGTTCCGCGAAACTCAAAGACTTAAGGGTCCGGAACGCCTCTCTTAGCATTGAGAGAGGGTAAACTGTGCAACATCCTCTCATTTCAACCGACGTATCCCGTGCTACCGTTGGGAGTGCCTCCGATCGATCAACAGATCAACAGATCAACAGCAGTTTGCCTCCATAAATTTGGATGGAAAACTTCGAAAAGGGCGAAAGCTATGCATCGCTCTCTACTCGCTCTTTTGTTACTCGCTCTTTTGTTACCAACGTTGACAATGGCGAGGAAGCGCAAGTCACTCCAGGAACAATACCAGCCGGCATTTGCCAGGTTTATGTCTTGGAAGCACGGCCGGCAGACACCATACAGTAGCAAGAGGAACTTTACACAGGTACGTCCTTCGCCAAATCTGTCATTTCGCTGATTGTCACTGGTTTCGCTGATCGGTAACTCACAGCATGGTCGCTCTTCTTCAT